GTAAGGAGCTGTTGGTTCCTTTGTAGGAGCTTGTCATGCTGGCTTTCCTGATGAACTTGGCTGTTTTCATCCTCTGAGGAGTTCAGGACCTTGTTGGCACTGAGAATAGCTTCAGTTAACTTAGGCGAGCTGTGGTCCTCACTCTGAGCGTCGCTTTTTGGCTCTGGAGGGGAAAATGGTGCACAGCTCAGTCTCCTAAAGAAGGTTGTCACGTTGGTTTCCTGATAGGAACTCAGATTTCCTGATCATTGGAGGAACTCAGGACCTCACTGTTGCTAAGGATGGCTGTGGTACCTTTTGGGGAGCTATGGTTCTTACTCTGAGCGTTGCTTCCTGGCTCCAGTGCAGATCTCTCAGCCTGCTAGCACAGATCCTTCATCTCACTGGCACAGACTTTCTAGATTCCACCACTGACCCTTGGGCCTTCCCAGTGCAGATCAGTGAAAAAGGCCTGCATGAGACATTGTTATGGGCTCTAGGTATTCAGCTGGACTCATACAGGCCATTATCATGGGATCCAGGCCCTCAGCTGGATTCCTGGTCTCTAATGCGTGAACAGCTTTCCTGTACTTACTTGTATGTGATTCTTTGGGTGACTATTACAAATAATCTTATAAAATGTCTTGTATTATATTGTTTCACCTTGCACAATAACCCCCAAATCTAGATATATATATATAGATAGATAGATGGGTTTTTAAAAATTAGCCAGAATTTAAATTTGTGCATCTGGGCAGCTTTTCCTGTGCTCTCCATTTCAAGCATTCTTTACTATCTCAGCTTCTTACCTCAAAACTTATAAATCTTTTTATCTTTTAAAATAGAAGAAGTGTTTTTCTACCTAAGATTAATCTCTCCACATATATTGTATCCCAGTCCCTCGTACTTCTTTGAAATTGTTAGTTACCCTCTTTCTGTTCAGGATCCTTGAACTTTTTCTCTTTCTTCAGTCTACCAAGCAGCATTTGCACATGTTCAAGCTACACCCATGTCAAATTCAAAAGCTGCCTTATCCCCATGATTCCTCCTTCCTCATTCCTCTACTGCTCAAAGTCTCTATTTCTTTCTACTGAACTTAGTTCAATATATAGCCTACATCCATCACTCCATCAAAAGTGCTTTTGTAGGTGGCCTGTAATACCTGCATCCTGGGAAACTTGAGACAAGAGAATCAAAATTAGAGCCCAGCCTGGGCAATGTAGTGACTTTTCTTTTCTTTTTTTTTTTTTTGTATCAGGAATCAAACTCAGGACCTTGTGCTTGCCAGACAGGCACTTATGCTACTGAGCTATATCCCTGGCCCAGTGTAGTGACTTATTGAGAGACCTTGTTCAAAGTAATAACAGAAAGGGCTAGGAGTGTAGTTCAGTGTGAAGACTATGAGTTCAAACCTCAGTCACACACACACACACACACACACACACACACACACACACACACACACACAGCTTTTGCTTAGCTCATTAATGGTTCTAATCTCTAAATCTGACTGTTAATACTAGTCTTCCTCTTACTTGATTTCTCTGCAGCTTCTAACACAGGGGATCCTCTTCTTAATACATCCTTGTGCTTTGATTTTCAGGACCCTATACCTTATCACTGACGGAGATGACTTGTGACTTCACACATCATTTTCATAAGTTTTCCTTTAGTTGTGAAGTGTTTCTCAAACTAAGCCATAACCTCACCTATAAGATCAACTGGAGTGTCTGCTGTACTCCACATGCAGACCTCCATACCAAGTGCCCTGTTACTTAAACAGTCACTTCCAGGAACAGGGCTCTCCTTTTTAGGTCACTCTGTAGAAAGCCATCTTCAGAAAGGCCAGCTTGCCACTGGAATTTATACTGGATTTCTTCAGAGACACAGTACAGCAGGAGTTTCCATGAATGTGCTTCTAATTATAGTAAAAGTCTTAATCTCATGAAATGAACAGAATTGTCACCTGAGGTTTGAAACTTAATTTGGGGGTTGGACAAGATAGTTCTCACTTGATTAGAATTCTCCCCCTTTTCTGATAATTTTTTAGTGGGGGCAGTGGTGAGAGAGGGGCTTAGGAGGTAACCTCCTAGCATTGTCTCTGTGTCTTCTTCCCTGTACACTCCTTGACATGGAACCATCTGACCTCCTAGCACAAGAAACCACACTCACTGGTCACTGCAGGAGCATTTGAGGGTTCTCCCATTGACTTTGTCCCGCCCGCATTTCACTCTTGTAAACTAGCTGCCTCCTCTTGCTGTCCACGCCCAGCCTCACATCAACATGGATCCAACATTTTGGATCTTCTGTAGTCCCTGAGAGATGTGTGTGCATGTGTGCATGCGGATGTGAGGAGGAGCCAGTGTGATTGCTTATTGGAGCTGAAAAAGCCTTGTTTTGTGCCTTTCACCTCTTCTCAAAGCCAACCTATGCTGGTTCAGGGAGTTATATGGGTTGTACTCTTCCACAGGTTCTGACAGAGCCGAACCATTCTGCTCTTGAATCTCAGTATCTACCCACCAATTTATGCGCCAACTCCTCTCCTCCCTCTTCTTACCCTCTATCACTGTTGATTCTTCTAGTTACCACCTAGAAGCTCCTCTCTGGATCTCCTCCCAACCCCCAGTCTCCTCTCTGTTTCCATTGCTGGAGACCCAGGGCATGTCCTCCTATATGCTGAGTATCTACCACTAAGCTAAATCCACTCTGGCAATACAGTGAGGCTCTTCACCAAAAACATATATGATATATGATATTCCATGATAATACATTCCTCTCAATTTTGTGGTCCATGGCCTATATCCTGAATCCTTATATGACAACTCAACTTTTTTGTTTGTTGAGACGGGATCTCTCCTACGTAATCCAGGCTAGCCTTGAATTTATAATCCTCCTGCTTCAGCTTCCCCAGTGCTGGGATTACAGACCCTACACCACCACGTTCAACATAGTCAATATGAAAACATAACAGCCAGCTTTTCTGTCAAGCATCTAGCTTTTGCAAATAAGAAGTATTCCAGCTTTCAGACTACAATACTTTTATTATAACTAAAACCTTTAGCTAGATGTGGTGCACACCTGTAATCCTAGCTACTGGGAAGGTTGAGGCAAAAGGATCACCAGTTCAAGGCTAGCATAAGCAATTAGGGAGACCACCATGTCAAAAAAACATTTCTTTTAACGTAGGCTGTTTGTTCTCCCTTCAAGGCAATGAAGCCCACCAGAGGAAAGCTACGGGGCAATAAGATAAAAAGAAAATCCCTGGTTTAAAATTCACTAGCTGCCGGGTGTGGTGGCGCACGCCTATAATCCCAGCACTCGGGAGGCTGAGGCAGGAGGATTGTTGCGAGTTCAAGACCATCCTGGGCTACAAAGTGAGCTCACAGCTGGGCTGAACTGCACAGTGAGACCCTGTCTCAAAAAGACCAAATAAATAAATAAATAAATAAATAAAAATAAAATTCACTAACTCATATAGGCAAGTAATCATAGATTTCTTTTACTTGCCAAAGATTTCATGAAAGAACTAGGCCTTGTGGCGCATGCCTGTAATCCCAGGACTCGGGAGGCTGAGGCCAAGAGGATCGTTGTGAGTTCGAGGCCAGCATGGGCTATAAAGTGACCTCAAGGCCAGCCGAAACTGCAAAGCAAGACCCTGTCCCAAAAAGACAAAAAAAAAAAAAAAAAAAAAAAAAAAAAAAAGATTTCACGAAAGGAGAAACTTCGTGAAACTTCTACATCTTTTGAATAGCCAATTTCAGTAATCCTTTCATCCCTCTATTTTTTCAGCAATTCACTATAAACAGTAAAACTAAAAGTAATATTATAAGTTTCAACAAGTCTTTGTGCTTCTGTTTTTATAGTTTCTTTTGGCATAACCAAAAAGTGGGCAATGTTTTATATAACAGCTGGATTTTGTTTATTCCAGCATGTATAATTACATGTCCTTTTTGTTAATCTTACCTAAAGTGACTTTTTACTTGACTATTCTGATTTAAGCATTTTTACATGAAACTACATTTATTGAAAGAACTTTTCGTAATTTATCCTGTATAAATGTATTAATTTTAATCTTACAGTTACACATATACCTAGAATTGGAAACGTTAACAGTAAACCTGCCGTAATAGTGCATGCTGTAACCGCAAATAGGGTAAAGTGGAAAATAACCCAAGGTGAAAAAAATAGCTCATAGAGGGACAGGTTTCCGGCGGTAGAGATAAACAAGTACACCTTCACTCTGCCTCCGGGCTATTTGTCCGGTGGGGCTAGCATCACCAGTTTAAGGAAATTACTATGGAGTAGGACGTTGTTGGTGCACAGCTCTGTTACATTACTGATCAAAAACCCAAAGGAGAGGAAGAAGGAATTGTCTGGGTTGAACTGGAGATCTAAGAAACTGGGGAGACCAAACCCAACGCCTTCACAGACTACACCTCGCACTGGCAACACCGAACTAGATGAACCCCCACATGATTTTTAATCCACTATCTAAAAGGTACCTCCACATTCTTAAACGACTTTCGATCCCGAGATACGCTTGCAATGCTTCGCTAGTTTCCTCGCAAAAAAGGGCGTGAAGCTACTTTGCAGTACAATTTAAAAAAGGAAGCGAGCTTTTGTTTATCTCGCCCGCGTTGCAAAGCAAGCGCCGGAGGGCAGAGACACACGCGCCTCGCGACTCAAGGTCTGCCAGAACTCAGCCCTCGGGGACACCAGCCGCAGCCGGGAGCCAGCGACGCAGCAGTCCGCGCCCAGGCCCGAGGGGAGGAGGCGGGGCGAGCAGGCGGCGTCACAAAGCAGGGCGGAACGCTCAGGTTTCGGCCGCAACCCCTTGCGCCGAGAAGCCCCGCTGCGACCCGCCCCACGGGGCGGGACGCGGCCAGCGTCGCCCTCCCCCACCCCCGGCTCAGCTGTGCGTCGCGGCGTCCCGCACGCCGCAAAGCGTCTTGGGAGAGCCGGCTCGCACCGGAAGGACGCGCGGGCGTGCTGCGACGGCGAGGTTATAAAAGGGAAGGAGCCGGCGGCAGGCGGAAGTGGGCGGTTCAGCTACGCCCGTCGCTGTTGTTTTGTGTTTGGGCCTCTCGAGCGGCGTTCTCGGGAGGGCCGCCGGTGCAGGCCGCAGTGACAGGGCCGCTCGCCCCTGCGCATCCCGCTTCTGGCCCAGCGCACGTTTGCTCGCGTCTGCAGCGTCTTGCAGGTCCAACATGGCGCGGGAGGTGTCGGAGTACCTGAGCCAGAACCCGCGGGTGGCCGCCTGGGTGGAGGCGCTGCGCTGCGAGGGCGAGACTGACAAACACTGGCGCCACCGCCGGGAGTTTCTGCTTCGCAACGCAGGGGACCTGGCGCCCGCTGGCGGTGTCGACTCCGCTAACACAGACGAAGCAGCCGACGCCAAGAGCGGGGCCCACAGTCGGCAGTTGCAGCAGCTTATCTCTTTCTCCATGGCCTGGGCAAACCATGTCTTCCTAGGGTGCCGGTGAGTGAGGAAGCGACCCTACCCAGCCCTCTCCTTTTTGTCTCCCACCCCCACACTGGGTCGCGGAGCCTTCCGCCGGCCCGGCCCGGCCCGGGAGGGGAGGGGAAGTTGCTAAGCGCGGGAATGCGCAGGACCGGCTGCCCTCTAGGGCGTGAAGGGCGTCCCTGCCGGCAGCAGACATAATTAACAGAGAGTCGGTAGGTTCTCTGGTCTGGGAGGCTGTTGATGGAGTTACTGGCATTAAGCCGGAAACGCTTTTGCGGACCGACACTAGACTTAAAGGTCAGTATGCAGAGATCCGCCTCCTGGACTGGGCATTTGTTTATGGGTTTCCAGAAAACAGTTCTTGGCGGTTGGTATACGTTCTTAATTGTAACCAGGAAATGCAGTTCCTGTGGCCTGTTTTTCACACCACAACTACGAGTTGAGGAAAAAAAAAACTTCTTAAAAGTGACTGTTTTTTTTCTTTTTCAGGTACTCTCAAAAAGTTATGGATAAAATTCTTAGTATGGCTGAAGGCATCAAAGTGACAGATGCTCCAATCCATACAACAAGAGACGAACTGGTTGCCAAGGTGAAGAAAAGAGGGATATCGAGTAGCAATGGTTAGCAGATCATAGATGTGAACATACATAGGCGTTAGAAAATAAATGATATAATTAGGAATTATTGCTAACACTAATTTAACAAACCAAAACTTACGTAATGCTATTAATCAAGTTGGAATGTTGAGTCTAAATTACATGCCTATGTGCTTTAGGCTCTGATTTTGATAGTTTCCTTTGATTACTTTAGAATTTGAAGTGTTTTCTGTTGCCTGATGCTGTTGATTTTTTAATATTAGCGTTTGATGATGTTACTTAACACTTTTAAGTTAATGATGTTATTCTACACTTAAACTACTTATGAAATTATTTCTCTTTGTGCTTTTCTTTTAATGAGTATCTGTCTTGTCAGCTGATAATTGTGAAGTATTCCTAGTCAAGTATCTGTTTTCCTTCTTTTTAGAAGGGGTAGAAGAGCCATCCAAAAAACGAATTGTAGAAGGAAAAAGCAATTCTGCAGTTGAACGAGATCTTGCAAAAATTTCTGCCAAAACAGAACGAACATCAGCTCAGCAAGAAAACAGTTCAACGAGTTCAGGGTCATCCTCGAAATCAGAGAGTAGTGGTAACTCCACTCGGAGCTCTGGAGGCTCCATTCACAATAACTCTACAAGTGAAGGCGATCGATCTGTGTCCGGCCAAAGCAGCAGCAGCAGCAGCAGCAGCAACATTTCCTCTCAGGTAACAGCAGGATCTGGAAAAGCTTCTGAATCTGAAGCTCCAGATAAACATGGTTCAGCAGCGTTTGTTTCTTCATTGCTGAAATCTAGTGTGAATAGTCACATAACTCCACCCACTGATTGCAGACAACAAAGTGGATCACCTAAAAAGAGTGCTTTGGAAAGCTCATCAGTCTCAGCTTCTCAGAGCAGCTCAGAGATTGAGGTGCCCTTGTTGGGCACCTCTGGAAGCTCAGAGGTAGAGTTGCCATTGTTGTCTTCTAAACCTAGTTCGGAGACAGCTTCAAGTGGGCTAACTTCCAAGTCTAGTTCAGAGGCAGGTGTTCCATCATCAGTATCCAAAAACACTTCCTCATCAGGCACATCATTACTAACTTCCAAGAGCAGCTCAACAAATACATCACTGCTAACTTCCAAAAGCACTTCCCAGGTAGCTGCATCACTGTTAGCTTCCAAGAGCAGCTCCCAGGCCAGTGGATCTCTGGTTTCCAAAAGCACTTCCTTAGCAAGTGTATCCCAGCTTGCATCTAAGATTAGCTCACAGAGTAGCACCTCACAGTTGCCTTCTAAAAGTACTTCACAGTCGAGTGAGAGTTCAGTCAAATTCTCTTGTTGCAAGTTAACCAATGAAGATGTGAAACAGAAACAACCTTTCTTCAATAGACTGTATAAAACGGTGGCATGGAAGTTGGTAGCTGTTGGTGGCTTTAGTCCCAGTGTGAATCACGGAGAGCTCCTAAATGCAGCTGTTGAGGCTCTGAAAGCCACCCTGGATGTGTTTTTTGTCCCACTAAAAGAACTAGCAGATCTGCCTCAAAATAAAAGCTCTCAAGAAAGTATTGTTTGTGAATTGAGGTGCAAGTCTGTGTATTTGGGCACTGGCTGTGGCAAAAGCAAAGAAAATGCGAAAGCAGTTGCATCAAGAGAAGCATTGAAGTTGTTTCTCAAGAAAAAGGTGGTGGTAAAAATATGTAAAAGAAAATACAGAGGCAGTGAGATAGAAGATCTAGTACTTCTTGATGAAGAATCAAGACCTGTAAACTTGCCTCCAGCATTGAAACATCCTCAAGAATTACTATAATATGCCCAGAATAATCATTGCATACGATATCTAGTATTTGAAGAAAAAACTGGCTTACTTTTGTATAAAACACAGGCTTTCACAAATTTTGTATTGCTTTTTTCCAGTTTTGCAGAAAATTTACATTCTAGTTCTCTTCACAAAAGTAGTTGTAAATACTTGACAGTACATATTGAAAGGTATGCATTAACAGCGTACCAGTATGCTGTTTTATTTGCTGAAGAAAATACTGTCTTCTATTTTTAATGATACATTAGGTACGATGTGTAGTTCTGTAGAGTCTTGAAAATTTTTTACTACTTGCAATTTGGTGAAAATGTATTAAGTTGTCTACCATGCTTTTTTTTCTAGCTGAATAAACCACATCAAAAGGGACCACAGTATTTGAATGTCTAAATGTCTGTCAAACTTAAGGTTTTAAGAATGTTGCCCATAATGTTGAAAATATCTGTTGAAGAATAAAAGAAAAATAGTTGCTTCAGACTATTTTTATGAGACGTTGTAAGCATTTTTTTTTAGATAACAAGCAGTATAAAGTACTTACTGTTATTTTATTCTGAAATTGTTTAAAATTCATAATTTTGACTGCTGCTGATTCATTAAGCAGGTTAATTTATGTTTTGAGGTAAATTCACACTTTTTATTAAATACATAAATGTGGGTTTCTAGATTAAGCATATTTTGTGACTACTAACAGACTCATTTGTTTAGAAATTAAATGCTTTAATCTATTTTACCTTTTCAAGAAGTTGTGTTTTTTTCTCTTTTACTGTCTTGCAGATACACTTCTTGCTATTAGTCACAGTAAATTATAGCCAGATAATTTTTATAGTGATACACTTCATGCAGAAGGAAGTTGCAATTTTCAAATCTAGAACTAAGTAGAGTTTGTGTTCATAAATCTTAATAATACTGAGAATAATAGACATATTTAGTTCAGCTGGGTTACATCTGTGTAGTAATGACTTGTTTCTGTGTCTTAGGTGATTCTGACTGTCAATCTATTGTGGTATATTCTTTTTTTCTTCAAACTCTAACCAGAGATGTTTGGTTATCTGGGTTTTTAGATGCTGTTACTAGATGCTACACATGGAGCAGTAACGGTGATTATGTACAGAGAAAAGATGACTTTATAGGCCAGTTGTATTGGAATAGGAAAATTGAATATAAATAGCACAATTTATGTAGACCTTACTTCTATTTTATACTCTGGAATAATGGAAAAGAATATTTCAGTTTCCTGTGCATAAACTGAAATAATTAGGGTGTTTTTATTTTACCAGGTAAAACTTCAAAATGATTCACTTTCGATAATTTTATTGGATACTAGAGATAAAAATCCATGTTCTGTAAATGGAGATGCCTTCATATATTGTGGGAAGCAATAACATGAATGTATCGTGAAAGCACTTTACTCACTTTCCCTAGACTTGGGATGTGTATTTTTGTGGGACAACATTTACCAGAACAGTGAGCTCAATATTAGAATAAGTATATTTTTGAAATACTTCTAATTAGGTGATTTGGTAATTACCTAAAATAGCTCGGTTTGAGTTAATATAAAGGTTATGGAAGTGTCTTAAATTATAATCGTTTAATATGGAGGAAGCTGCCTAGTATAAGAACAGCGTTCTGTTTATAAACATATACTCCTGTTGAAAAATGTAAAATTACTGAAGTTATTTTAATCAAAATTTGAAGATCCCTGATTTAACAGAAATGCCTATATTATAGTACAGAAGAAAACAGGCTTTGAGATCTATTCTTGAGGTAGAATCTTGGTTCTGCCTCTTACTGGAATGGAACCTTGGGGTTTAACCTTTTTAATCTCCATCTGTAAAACAGGACTACTAACAGCCTCATAGAGTTAGTAAGTAGCCACTCTCATTTGACTAGTTTTTACTTGTGGATTTGTTTAGGCTTTTTTGAGACAAGGTCTTGCTACATAGTTCAGGCTGGCCTTGAACTTGCAGTGATTCTCTTGCCTCAGCCTCCTGAGTGCTCTGATTACAAGTGTGTGCCACCACACCCAGCAGTTTTTCATATAAAGAAACAAATACAGATATACTGTGGTTAAAGAATTCAAGTCCATGTCTGATTTCAGAACCCAAGCTTTTAATTATGTGCTGTTGCTTATTATCTTTTACTCCTCTGTAGGCAGAAGTTTCTAAAAAACCACCTCGAGTATAATTTTTTTTTACCACTTAGTATAACATCTCACCAGAAACCCTTATAAGAAGTCACTTCAGAAGTTCCGCTTGTTATTAATGCTTCTCTGTAGTATTTTCATTTACTGAATGTCATCAAACATGGGGGCATTTGAGGTTTATGAGGACAAAAAGAATAATCTGCAGTCAATTCAATGAATAGATTCTGAAGATAACACTGATACTTTTTAAGTCAGTGAGGTGAGACATGTCCCAAGGCTCATTTTTTTTTTTTTTTGATGCTAAAATCAGTAATTTTTTTTAATGGTAAAGTTAGTTGACTTTTGAATGGTACTGTAATGAATTTTTGACCCTAATTCTGGGAGCTTGCCATTACTGCCACTGGCTAGAATTATTTTCAAGAATATGTGTAATTCCAAGGTGTGATATAATCAAGTTATTACCAAAAATGCTGCAGTTTAAACTGAAAGAGACACTGTTTTCCCTTTAAAGGCACCTTTTCTTGGTATAGATTTCTCCTGGCTATTTGGATTCCTGAATTAATGGCAATGAGAAAGTAACCAAATCAGGCATGGAGCTCTAGGTCAGGCCTGCAGATAATATGTTACTACAGTAGTTTAAGGGAAATTTGTAGACTTTGTCCTCAAATATTGTGCTAAAATTCTAAATTGAGCCCCTTTCTATACATTAGTAAATCTATGGATTTCACTTTCTACATAATTTTCAAAAGTTTTCTGTGATGAATAAATGATTTTCTCTACCATTGGAACATAAATAGATGGATATATAGATTATCAAACCATTCATTTTGCCAAACCCCTACGAAAATTTGCTAGATTGTTCACATGTCCTTGATGTCCCTAACACAATTTGTTAGCCCGCCAGAACCAGTCCATTCTTATTTCCACTTTAAGATTTTTCCACTTTTTGGCTGGAGATGTGGCTTAGTGGTCGAGAGAACTGCAAGACTGTGGCTTTCATCTCTAGTACTGCCAAAAAGAAAATGGGGAAATAACAACAAAAATCAAAAACCTATCCATATATTGTTTATCTCCTTAAAAAAAAAAATTATCAAAAATATTTTTAAATTTCTCATTGTTGCCTTTGCTGTAAGAAAGACTAGTGATCAAGGCCCCAAACTAAATTGATTAACTTGGAAGAAAAAAATATTAAACACAAAAGGTTAGATGTAGGATATTCTATTTAGTAAAAACTAGAGATTTCATACACCAGTTCTTAAGCAAACATAAGTACTCTTGATTTTGAAACTTGAAGTCGAATCAGACTCCTTGGAGATCGTCAGGTAGCAAACTAAAAGTAAATATGGTACATTGACTGTAACTTGGAATTTAAAGGCAAATGTGCGTGTAGGTCTATTGGAATGGTAATAACCATTTCCTTACATTGTTTTGAATGTGCCAGCGCTTGAACACTTAGCAAAGATAAAACCTGAATTTGGGATGTGTGCTCAGTGGTACATAAACTATTTTAGTCACATTTCTTCAGAGAAAAGTGGGAGCATTTTGTATGTAAAGTAGATGAGCACAACTATTTTGGTCAAAGGAGGGTGGCCACACCTCAGCTGAATTGCTTCTACCTTCCATCTCAATTTCTAAGGTACTTTAATGGACTGTGACCAGAAGGGAATTGCAGCAGTATGAAGCCCACTGTAAATAGCTAGCTTCCTCCTTAAGTAGAAGCCATCCACTTACTTTAGAATGAAACTCAGGTCTTTTGAAGTAATATGCTACATTAGAATTTTATAGTTAGTGAAGACTCGGGCTTAAGGAACCATTACAGAAGTGAACGTTCAACTGTTCTGAATTTTTATTGTGAAACACAATTGTAAGAGTCCATACATTTTTTTTTTTTTTTTTTTTGGTTTCTTGGGGGGTTTTTTTTGGTACCGGGAATCGAACTCATGACCTCGTGCTTGCCAGGCAAGCGCTGTGCCGCTGAGCTAAATCCCCAGCCCCAAGAGTCTATACATATTAAATCTAATATTTATTGACTGTCCATGAAATAATTATATTACGAAAAAACTCATCATTGCAAGAACTGAAATTTAGTATTCTTACAGAAGATTAAGCAGTGGTTTGATTCTAATTTAGTGAATGTGAACACCAATAAGAGACACGCTGTCTCAGGGTATTTCCCATGTTCCAGAAAACTATAATCACACTAAGGGAAATTTGATAACTACTATGCTTAACTTTTCAACTAGAAAACTTACTTAAAAGTAAACTTTAGGCACAGTGGTAGAGTGCATTCTTTCCCTAGCACCAAAGAAGAAACTGCTGAAATACCTGAAAGAAGCAGTGGAAAGTATTTCTGAGATACTCTGTACAATTCAGAGGGACAGTTTACAGAAGCAGTGATACAATTAGTGGTGAATGGTTGAAACAGATTATCGTAATCCTGTCTCGTTACTCTTTACTGTTGGCATAGTAAGTAATCTGTACTACCTAAGGAGAAAAATGACTCACGAAATTAAAAACTAACAAAGTTGTATGTATTTCTAATTTATCTGTGTGCACGGAGTGTAGACCATATTTTTTTTTTTATTTTAAAGATAAAAGGAGGGAAACATTAACAGACATACAACATTTTACAACATATCACAAGCACAATACAGAGTTACAAAGTGGTAGGGAATTAACAATGGTGGTTGTATTACATATTGATATCTTCAAAGTGGCTTCTCATAGTAGACCATATTTTAATGATAGATTTATGACACATGCTCCTAAAGTATGAAAATAAGTAAAAGCATGTATACCTTTCTATTCTCATTTTTTATTTCTAAGTAATATTGAGATATGTGGGCAAAATGATACTATTTTGAAAACATCTAATTCCCCTGTAGTTTATGTTCTCATGCAGTCATTCTGCCATAACAGCTTCTACTAGAAGTGAAAGATAACTTTTGGGAAGCCCAAATCTGGGAGAGTAAGGAAGTAAGAGTCCATCCATTCCAGCCTTGCTGAATTCTGAAGAGGAAAAGGGTAAAGAAGCATTTGCATCATACAGAGTCTGACCTGCACTGTATATTGTGAGTTTAACCAGTGTTATTGCTGAGGCAGGGTATTGGCAGTCTTTAATGAGCCTCTGTCCTTCAACACTTGACTATAGTCAAGGAATGCTTAGGGAAGTCTAAGCAAAGTAAAAGAGGGCTTGAGTAAAAATTCAGAGCCACTCAGTTGCACACCAGCAGGGGGAGCCACTCACATGCAATATAATGGATGTTTAATGAATGATCTCACTTGGAGTTGTGGAACAAGGTATCCCTTTTTGAAATCACTGAGGTTTTAAGTAAATTT